ACAATTAAGTTCCTGTCTATGCTTTGCCTTTCTTGCATGGCTTCAGCTCACATACTTCCTTATGCATTAACAATAGATTTTTCAGTACAACTAAGCCAAGGATGCACATCTATGCTGCACCATGCTGAGCCTTGGATCTCAGTGGAACTGCTGGACTGGGGGTTCAAAAGCGGCCTCCGTAAACTGAGGCATAAGCTTGACCCATGTGTGTCCTGTGCCTATAGGAGAGTTGGATGAAGTAAAACATCTTAAAAATAAAACCAGACTTCAGGGCTTTTTAGAGTTAGTTGCTGATTTACTAATAAACTGGAATTAGAAATTTTTCTGCTGTAGGGCACTCCTGTTTCATAGCATTCACTGTCTGAAGGACATGTATTCAGCATTATTCATCTTTGCCTCTTTCAGTCTTCTGCTTTTCTGGTGTGCAAAAGTCATCCAAGAGAAGTTAGGATAAACCACTGAGTTGTTTTTGATCAGGGACTGGTACAGCTTGCAGGATCCAAAAGACTAATCTTTGGTACTTTGCATCAGGCAGTGTCAGGGTGTCCAATGTCTGTGTTTTAGAAAGGTGAGCAATGACCCTAACAAATACCAGAATGTGAAATGAATAAAACAGACCTGAGACATGGCCCATTTATCTTGCTGTTAACAGTCCACTGTTACAGTTGTTTTTACACAAGTAGTATCTGTTGAACAGGCGGACATGTTGGTATTGATATTCTAGTAGAAGGCTCTGCAATTTAGAACACTTCGTATCTCAACAGTTAAGCTCGGTAAAAAAATCTGATGTTGTTCGAAACGCTGCTTACCATTAGTGACTAGCTTAGTGTAAACAACTGTTCCACTAGTCTGTTTAAAATCTACCTTGAATCTTTGTCCTTCAAAATTTTGAGATGTCTAGAAATAAATCTTTATTAATCTAGTTCTAGCAAACACTGAGATTGTGGACAGATTTCTGTATGTATTTGGCGTGGCTGTTTACATCTACTGGTTTGTCAATGTGCTGGGATGCGAAAAACCTGTTTGAGTCTCTGATCAATTGGTAGCTAATAACTTCTGCCTAGCTATTTATACTTTACTGTATAGGCATCAGATGACAGGTTTTCCTGACTCATTTTTCAGTGAGATACCATAAAGGTATGGCAACTGATTTGCTAGCTTTACTGTTGCTGATATTACTAAAGAGGGCTGAACATCACTGAACAGGGCTGCAGGATCAGTCAGACAAGTATTATTCTGACAGTGGCATTGGAAGGTATCTATTGTCTGATACCACCATCCTGAACGTAATGGTCCTCTCTTATGCTACAGTAATCAATTCTTTCAGCAGCCTAAAAACATTTACTTTCACCTTTTGTCTAATAGGTGAAAATTTACTTGAAGAAAGAATTTGAAAAGCATGGAGCAGTGGTAAACGACACCCAGCATGATGCTTTGGTTGAAGACATCTTTGATAAAGAAGATGAAGACAGTGATGGGTTTATATCTGCAAGGGAATTTACGTACAAGCATGATGAGCTGTAGAAAAGGGTGGCATAATTTTTTTGACACAAATGGCAGTTACTTAGACTGTCTGATTCTCTTGTCTTAATTCTGTGTTTTGGAGTTGACAGCTGCTGTTGGCAAAGAAACGCTCTTTGTTTATATAAAAGAATTTCTGTTCATTATGTACGAATGTTTTAAGCTATTTTAAAGTGTGAAAATGTACCTCCTTTTATGCAGCAGACTTGCACATCAGTGTTTTTAAAATTTTGTATTAACTTATTTTTCAGAAATGAAACAAACTGTCCAGTTAACAAACATTGTGAAAATCAAAATCCAGTTCAGTGCCTTCCTGTGATTTGTTTGTGTGTTAAGATCACTTTCAGTGACTCCTTTATGTGTAACTTCTAGTCTGTGGCTTAATTACTTGACCTTCCTTCTTGGGTGTCACGGCTTGAAAAGCAGTGTGCTCTTTTTTCTGCAGATTTTTAAAAGCTGTACTAGAAGGCATCAGCATCTCTTTTTGCAGCTGAGAAACTGATACAAAGCTGAATAAGAAGAATGACTACCCTGTGCTGATTTTGCCCTTCTAAAGGGAGAGTGTTACCAACCATGCCAATAATTGTCTGCATTTTTCTTTAAAATATGTGAACAAAGTAGGCGTCAAATGTCAGACTTTCACTTTTCGTGTCAGCAATATTCTAGGAAATGTCTGTAATTTAGAAAATAGCAAGTTTGCTGCAGTGCAGAGGTGGTGTCCTTTACATATGCTCACAGGTTTGTTTTGAAACTTGGAGCTTGCATTCAGAAAGAAAGATCATACCTTTCTGCTCGCAAGTTTTGAGGGAGATCTTGGGGGAAAAACTTCCTATTTGTAACGTTTTGCTCATTTGCAGAAGGGGAAGCTGACAGGAGGATCAGTGTTGCCTGAAGAACCGTTTGCATTGGCATGCTTGCTTTGCAACTGCCTGAGTTGCAAAACTTGTTTTGTCATTGCCCCTTTGCAGCATTTTCACAAGTAACACACAAGTGATGTGAATTTTAAATAATAAAGTGACTTTTTAGAAAAATAGAGGCACAAGGTAAATGTTACAGTGCTGTGTCTTTACAGAGGTGGAGACTGTAAGGATTTCAACTCCATTTTGTGTGTGTTTGAACTGTTTCTGGAGAGGAAGCAATGTTTTGCAATTGTCTGTGGCTTCTTAAATGAGAGGGCAATGTATCTCATTGAAGGAATTAGCTTGTGTTCTGGCACCACCAACATATGGGTCTGTGAACACAGTATTTCACTTGAAAAATGTTGCTCAAGGCTATATAGGGACACAAAGCAAATCCAGCTGTAAGAAACTGAGATGGCTGCGTTGCACTAATCCTTAACTATTGCTAAGTGAGACTCTACTTTCAAGGTTCTCAATGCCGTCGACGTTTTCCCTGCCACCTAGTGTTGCAAGTAAGTATTGGAATACAGAGTTCAGCTGCATATGGACATCACAGATTGCTGTCAATAGTGACTGTTCTGGGGGAAAAAAGTGCAAGCGAAGGCATGCGGTGGTGGGGTGTTTTGTTTTTCTTCCAGCATCTGGTATTTTGTGGCTGATCACCTATGTGATACGGAGTTGTGGTCACGTATTTTGTTTTCAGTAACCTTAGGGTCTTTTTCCTCAACAAAGCCATCTAGTTTTCTTGAACCCATTTATACTTTTGCTTCCATAATGTTCTATGGCACTGAATTTCACAGTAGAATAGCGCAGGAAAATATTTCCCTTTTTTTTTAGGCTTGTTGCCTGTCCTGATTCTTGTATTGAGGAAGTAATGAAGAATCATTATCTATTTAGCTCTTCTTACTGGTCATAATTTTGCATATTGATATTTTTTTCTCATCACTTATGAAAATTAAGCTTGCCGGAATTTGGCTCTCCCAAGGTTGCTTGCATGTTCTATGCTGGGTGTCTTGATTTTTCTCTACAGTCACCAAAGCACTATGCACCTGGGGGCAACTCCTCATATGTAGGTTGTTCATGTTGTTTTGGTATAGTTGCCTTATCAAATAGTTTCCTGTCTTTCTTCATTGACTGTGTGGGGAGCCTAGGCAATTAGCACGTCCTAGGCCGAGGACAGCTAATAGGATATGAAGTTGACCCTTAAGGCAGTCTTGCCTGGGATGTGGGAACTGGCAGATACCAAACCAACCAAAGGGGAAATACCATGTGTGGGATGCTGGGAAGAGCAGAACTGAGACTTGCATTGGGTCTGTTGGAGTTTTAGATGATTGCTCACAGTATTTAGCATGTTCTCCAAACATGTGGCTGGGGAATAAAAGCATAAAAGCATGAAATAAAACTTGACCCAGGTTACCGACTAGATATATAAAAAGTTAAGCTTAAATAATGGGATGCCAGTATGTGCCTTCAGTAAAGGCCAGCTGTTGTTTCCTTTGTATTAAATAGGAGTTCGGAGTTGGTGAATGCTGCAAAATGTACATGTGTGTTATCTTCTGCTTGGATTTTTGAAATATTTCATAAAAACAGCTTTCTTTGAACACATGGTTAATTTGTTAATGCCAGCAGAGTATTAAAGCTGCAGGACCAAGATGCTTTATTTGGTGATATGTGTAGGTTTATGCCAGATGAGTGGATGGGTTTTGTTCTTAGTGCTTTTCTTGGTAGCTGTGTTAAATTTCTGAAATTGAACTGAAAAAAAAATTCAAAAGTGCAGAATCAGCAACAGATTTGAGAAGCCACTTCAACTTTATTACTATTTGATATTGTTAAAGTACTTCTGTGAAGATGAAGGGATTTCTTAGGTAGAAGAAGCACTGCCTGTCTTAACCTCACTTTCATCTGCTTGTTAATAATCCACCGGGCATACTGCTGCAGTGCCAGCAGGAGCCAGCCAGCTACCTGCAGGAGAGCAGAGAGGCAGGCAGCTGCCTGTCCCCGAGGGGAGGAGGAATATTGGAACTTTGGTGGCACTCAGCATCGTTTTGGCCAGCTTGTATGTGAAGTGCCAGGTGTACTTCCCTGAAGAAACAAACCCTCACTGTGTGTCCGTAGAATGCAGCACTTGAAGTCGAGAGGGCTGAAAACAGAGCGCTTTCCTCCAGCAGCTTACAGCCTTCTTCAAATGTTTCTTGTTGGTTTGTGGTTATATAGGAAAATATGTACTGATGGATTTTGGAACTGCGGCCTGTCACTCACAGTCACTACCTAGCAATTACAGTGGGAGTTGCTGCCTTCTGTAGGTACAGAAGCAGCCTTCAGAGCTCGTTTTATTTGAGAATTGTTGATACACAATGCAGTGACACAAGACAGCTTTTGGCAAAGCTTGCAGGAATGATGCTTACAGTCTGAAATGTTTTTTTAAGTTTTCTTCTTTGAGATCAACTGACAAGGCAAACAGTGTTGAAAATTAAGGAATTTTCAACCCAAAATTATTGGGTCTTAAATCTTTGCTTTTCAGTACCTTATGTCCTTGTGCTGCCAGCAGCATCCCCAGTATAGAGGTGTTTTGGTGAGTACGATATGTGTCAGAGGCATAAAATTGCAGTGTTAAGTACATATCGAAGGAAATGCTACCATAGTTTCTTCTTCATGACGTTTAGAACAAAAATGATCCATAGCATGTTTCCTGAGTACTTCAGTGTAAAAAGGTAAAGGTCAGCCTTTAAATTACAATGGTCTTTGTCATATGTGCTCCCCACACCTCGTCGTTTCTGCTGTTAGATACAAGGTGGTCTATCCCTGGAAGTGTTCAAGGCCAGGTTGGATGAGGCTTTGGGCAACCTGGTGTAGTGGAGGGTTTCCCTGCCCATGGCAGGGGGGTTGGAACTAGATGGTCTTTGAGGTCCCTTCCAACCCTAACCATTCTATGATTCTGTCTGTTGATCCAGAAATCCCGGTTTCAGATGGCAGGTATCAGCAGGATGGGGAAAGCTCGTTGCTTTGGGACATTCCAGGAAAAGGGGCAAAGCTAGGGGAAATCCGGTGAAAGCAGGTGGAAGTATACAGAGGGATGTGAGAAATGCAAAATATTTTGTTTCCCAGATCCTTTGACATCTGCTTCCTGGGAAAAAATGGACACTGGCAGCCACTGATGTAGGTACTGCAAATCATAAGGCTGGTTCCTGATCTGACTTTGATTAGAAACCACTGCTTCAGCCAGCTTCTATATAGATTTTTACTCTTACGACAAAGTTTAAATTCACACTTCCAAGGTCCATTAAAGAATATTCAGAATAGGTGTATTGAATTTGCTTCACAAAAACATGGGCCTCATCAGAGCTTTTGCAAAAATCCTACAAAAAACCCCAAAACCCACTACCCCAAAACCCGTCATTTGTCTTCAACACTGAATTATCTTTGGTAACAGGAAATAAACCAAACAAAACCTGCTTATATTTGTATAATCCTGGATAATTTTATCCTCTCTTGAAAGTTAATCATAATGCTAATGTTCTGTGCCCTAGTTTTCTCCTGGTACATAGGAAAAACAACTCTGACAAAATAAGGATCTTTCTTTAGCTATCCTGCTTCTGTTTTCATGCTTGTGCCTTGAGTATGTCATCAGTTTCACCCAAGAAAGGTAATTGAAAGGCTCAGTAGGAAGCTATATATCTGTATATGCAAGGACAAGGACCTTCATTATCATCTCTCCTAGCCTGGAGGGGATTCAGATGGAGCAGCATCCTGCATCACGTTTCTTCCTTTTAGGAGGCTCTAAAAGGTTCCAAAAGCAGGCTGGTTTAGTAGGGGTTGCACCCAGTTAGGAGCCATGTGGTATTTCTAATCTCTTGAATGATGTAAAAGAAGTAGGAGGTTGGGTTAGCTGAGGAATTTGCCATGAAGATAGAGGATCTTTTGAAACATGTCAGGTAAGTAGTTTTGTGCAAGGTTTCTAAAGGCCATGTTCCTGATGGAGGGCTGGAGTTTGTCCACAGGGATAACGGAGTTTGTTGTTTTTTTTTTCTCCTTATAACTGCTCTGCATTTCCATTAGGTAAACAATGAACAAACCCACTTTTAAAATATTAGGATCTGACTGTGGAAATCTAGTGGAGCCAACTCTTCAGAGCTCCCCAAATCCCAGTTATGTTTTCCTCTAAAAACTCTGAGGCTGATGCTAACTACCATTAAGAGCTGCTCTTCATATTAGATACAATGCTTCTAATTTCTAGTTTGTCATGACCTGCTTAAGGAGATTAAATGACGCAGGATAATTGATTCCTCATCTGGGAGTCAGACTGAAAGCATTAAATCAATCCTGTCCTCTTACATTTATTGCCATTGAAATGTCTGTAAAGCAGCTGATGTTTCCTTCTTCTCTTTCTCTTCTTCTGAGTAGCAAACTAGGTAATACCTATTTCTTTTGTGTGCTTGGCCTGCTGTGTCTCTGGGAATAAACAGCACAGCTTAGCTCT